TGTACAGAAGACGATCGGTGTTCGGACGTCGACTGCTTCCCGAAAGAAACGGGAAAGTGCGCTCGCATCGCCTCGTCCATCTCTCCATCCATCCTATCTCTTTCCCCCTCGTCCTGCTTCTCGCTCTCCCCTTAACCCTCCCGAGTAATTTATTTTCTGAAACTTTTTTTTCTCCATAATTAATACTATTTATCAGTTATCACATCTCTCATAAAAAAATTATAATAAATAAATTAATAAAATAAAATAAGGCTGGTTAATTGATATAAGATGGAGTTATAATTTATATACTGTTATTCAATATTTATTATAGTTGGTCTTAATTAAGTAGATAAAAACATTATTTTGTCATGAATTTATTAATTTATTATAGTATTATGCTAAATTATTTTGTAGGTATGTATTCTTGTGCTCTGATAGATTTCATTTGTTGCTTGTACTAAATCACATGAGTTGTTTAGCCTTCACCCATGACTACACATATTCATATCTATTTAATTGATGCGTGTATTTACAATATTTATCATTCGTATTATCATGTTTTAGATTCAAGTTTTACATATTATTGCTTTTGTGTATATTATTAGTTATATTCGTATGACTTATATATGATATATGGAGTATGCAAATTACTATAATAATATAATGTATGTATGAAGCCTTTTAATATGACTTGTTGGATCGACGAGTTCCCAAAATTTTTTTTGAATATTCAGATAATTGATGCCTACGTTTCTTTGCTCTATATAGTGATAGAAGCGGAAGCGAGCATTCTTGTTATGAATATGATGATCATGTTTCTACATGATTTTCTTTGGTTTTCTTATCGATTTGTTGATATAATCCTTCTGGTTGACTGTATTTTAGTAATTGTGGTTTTTTTAAGAGTTCGTTTGCACATTTAGAAGTTTTTCTCTAGTTTTCTTGGTTTCTTTCGGTGCGGGTTGATGGCAAATCCAACTTTTGCGGATGTTGTTAGAGGGGAGAAGGGGGCTGATGGTAAATCTCATTGTTTGCCCAATCAGTTTCATGATTTCTTTGATCAAGATGGCATGGAGAATGATTTTCTTAAAAAGAAGGGAAGAAGGGGGAAAACTAGTTTTCAAATTGGGAATTGTTGGCAAATTTACTAACGGTCATTCTAAGATGGATTTAATTAAAAAATTCTTTAATAGTCTTAAATTATTGGGTTATTGGAATGTTGGTCTTTGGATGTTCGTCCTATTATTACTAAGTTTGATTGTGAATAGGATTATACTAGATTATTTGGTAACAAAGTTTGATTTGTGGAGAATTCTCAAATGAAATTTTTAAAATTGACTCTGGATTTTTTATCTTATTACTGGACTTCCTGTTGTTCTAGTTTGGTTAACAATCCTTGGTTTAAGGTTGCATTATTTTAATTATAAAGAGCTTTATCCTTTGGGTGAAATATTTGGGAAGCTTATGAAGATTGATATGGCTACACATAATTTTAGTAGGCCTTCAGCGACAAGAATATTAGTTGAGCGAGATATTACTTCTCCTATGGCTGAGGAGGTTTGGAAGCTGAATTTAAGCCTAAGCATTGCAATAAATGTAGATTTTTTGGTCATATGGTTGATAATTGTTTCATTGCTCATCCAAAGTTGAGAATGCAATGAAATAATGTTGGGTTAGGAAAAGGTAAAGAAAGAACTAACTAATAATTCTCAACTTAATTTGGTTGGGATTATCCACCGTAATGAGACTGAGGAGCAGCAAGCTAGAAACTATCTTAGAGAAGATGAAATGGAACAAGTTTTATTTTGTAATGGACAAGGTCAGAAAAATGGCTCACATGAAGTTTTGCATGTGGAGGATGATCCTTCGCCAGAAGCTGTAGATGGTCAATATGGGATTTTAAATAAAATAAATGTTATTCAGAATAAGGAGAGGGGAATGATAGGTATTCATGAGGAATAAATTGAAGAGATTAATACTAGATAAGTGGAACTCATTGTTGCTCAACAAGACTTTGAAGAGAAATGACAGATCATGGGTTCTAAGAGAAAAAAAGGATAACTAAGTAGAGAACTTAGTAATATGAATTCAAATTATGTGTTGGAAATCACCAAAAGATCAAGTATTGGTATTTTAGCAAATGTTAATGATGGGGCTTCTTTTAGGATTACTAGTAGTGCATCCTTTTCTCATTAGGAGTGTTAAGGGCATTGCTAAGAGTAAGCCCCAAACAATATGTGCAAGATTCATAACTTAAGATGTTTTGCAATTTTAGAACCTATGATACATGTGGAGAA